CGGTATCAGAACGTTAATGCGACGGTCCTCGGTAACGGGGCGGCATTCTTCCGCGCTCGGAACGATAAATCCGCCGCGAACGAATTCGGCCGTGCGCGCAACGGTTCCATTTCGACGGTCGGTCGCAAATCACGCGGAACCGCGGAGCACGCGAGCAAACTCGGCGCGATACCAAAAATTAGTTGGCGGTCCAGCTCCCGCGGAAACAATAGCGATCATTTCTGACCGGACGCCCGGTGTACGCGTTCCACTTTCGCGTAGCACGCTTATTTCACCGTAACTGTCTCGATCTCGTCGCAGGGGGTGGCTCCTCCGGAGCGGCGTCGCGACGCGGAGGACACCAACCGTGCAACGAGACCAGGCAAGAGGGAGGGGGGAGACGGTGGAAAAAGTGAAAACGGGAGACCATTCTCGTCCCATTAGCGACTACATCGTTAAAAAACCGATCCCCCGACCGATAAAACAGAACTGTCGATAAATCGGGGAAAAAATGGACGATCCCCGAGGCTTATTTCATTTCGTCAGCAAACGCGCCTCGTTACGGGATCCGCTCGATTACGAGTTCCTGGATAAATTACGAGCTTAAGCGAGAAAATCTACGAGCCCACCCCACCCACCCCCCTGGTCCGTGTGCTAGACTGCACATGCCATGGTGCGCGCGCGCGTCTGTGTAAACAGACCGCACACGCTCCCGAAAGCCTAATTCAGACCTAACCGTTTACCAAGCGCGATGCGTCGAGCGTGTGCGTGCCGCTCAGCGCCGCTTAAATCCATATAAATACGCGCCCGTGAATCCCATCCATTAATCAGATCCGCGATAGGGTGGTCTCGTGCCTGACGCCCGAGTGATTTCAACCCCTGCCACCCCCTCTTCGCCACCCCCACCCACCTACACCCCTCTCTGTCGACTCTCTTTTTCCCTTGTCTTTTATTTTTCCGTTCCTCTTTCGCCCGATACCTATAGCGGGTCCGTTTGCAGGGGTCACTGAGAGATGGCAGCACCTCCATTAAAATTCGACGCGAACCTTCTGCGAGAATCCGATGTATGCTGTGTCATGCCCTGCTTATAGCGTCGTATAGCCTAGCTTGCAAGTCCTGCTGCAAAGGCTGTCATTGCACACGTGTGGGGTGTACGTGTGCCAGGCGCGAAGGCAGCACGGTTATAACCCACGGCTCCCGTAGGTTGTGAGCGGAATATGGTTTAGGGGTCTCGGATGGAAACGGGGGATGGGGGACGACGGGGCTATGCGCCTATGTGTCCCCGAGCAGGGGGAGGGAGAATCTGCTCAACATTTCTCTCCTATTCGCTCGGGGAGGTTTTCCTCTTTTACTCTGCCCCGTCCGTCTCCGGAGAGTTCCTCTTTCTTTTTCGTTCCGGGCGATTTCGATTTGTTAACCGTTGCCGGAACGTTCGATTCCACCCTTTCTATCTTTTTACGCTTTCTCTGCCGGGACGTTCCCGGGACGCAAATATCGACGGCTGTCGGAAGGATGTCACCCCCCCCCCCCTCCCCCCTTTGGAATTTTGCATTTTTTAACGTTCTTTCTCTGCTCTACGCGGTGACGATTTATCGTCGAAGCTAGCTAGACCCCGGGATCCGGCTAATTAAAGAAAACAGGTAACATTTTTTGGTCGCGTACCGTTTCCCCGGGGCTCGACCCAAAGCCTCCGGTAAATCCGCGGGGCCGTGTAAACCGCGAAATCCGAGAGCTCGGACGGAACCACCGGGTTCCCGTTCCGCGTGGCTCCGTATGCCGCAGAAGGTCGGATAACAATCGATTATCGCGGCCCGACGGAGCAACACTTCGTTTCTCGGTCCGCGTAGGATGAGAGATTCCGGGGCGAGGGAGGGGGGGGGGGGGTGCACGGCGAGAGGACCAGTCGCAACGCGTCGTAGAAAGCGTGCAGTAGGTAGAAACGTGCGCGCTTAGGCATTAATTTGCATCCTCGGTAATCCTTAATTTACAACTCCGACGGAGTTTTCCACAGAGGGTAGCATCGGCGGGGTTCTCCGCGGAATTGGCTCGGTGTGCATCCCTGCATACACACACACACACACACACACACACAGATACACTCGCATAGCCGAGCAGGAACACGGTAGTGGAAACTAGGGGTCGCGATGGTGGGGTGGAACGATGGAGAGGGCAGTCGCGGAGTGGAGTAGGGAGGAGTAGGGGGTTGGGGGGGTCGAAGGAAAAGGGATTCGGCAGACAGGGGCTGTGGCTGGTGCTGGGATAGTCGGACTGGCCTCGATGGTGGGGGGTCTGGGGGCTATGAAATGGCGGAACCCGGAGGGTGGGGGGCGAGGGGAGTCGCGGAAGGACGAAAAGAGGGGCGATGGACGGAGGTCGAGAGTCGCGGGTTGGCTCACTCTGCGGCTCCCGCCGCTCGGGAGCAGACACGCGGGGCCAAAGACTAATTTGAACCTATTTTATTAACAAAACAAAAACATACATATTTGTAAATAACACTAAATAACACGCAAATAATACACAGCAACGTCTCCTAAAAGTCTCTCTTACCTACTCATTAAGAAAGGAAAACTTTTAGACTTCTGTATACAAAAGAAAAAAAAAAATATATACGATTTAACAACAACAAACAAAACAAGAACACGGAACCGCAAAACGACAAAAAAGTATAAAAACTATTTCCAGTCCCCTGTAAAAGCGATCGTTTACGAAGCCTGATAGACGCGACTGAGAGGAGGACACGAGGATAAGCGAAATATTTGGAACGAAAGGAGAGGCCCCGAAGGGAGAGGAAAATCGTCCGTTTTGCGAGTCTACCACCGGTTCGGGAAGAGGCGAGAGGCGCGCGTGCCGAGTAAGAGACCCGGGGACAGTGGTAAAAGGCAGCGAGGAGGCGCGAGACGCGGAAAGGACAGCGAAGGAAGAGATCGGATAAGAGAAAAAGAAAGGAAAGGAGGCACCGGAGGACGTAAGAACGCGCGAAGGGCGATCGTAAATCACGCGTCTGGCCGCGGGCGAAATCTCGGGTTTTTAAGTTCTCTCTGTATTCTGTGTGACCCTTACATTATTTTGTCCCTGCGGTGGGGACGGGTTCAGTGTTGTAACTTAGGATATAAGAAGAATAAGAGCTCCGGAACGCACAACAAACGAAAAAAAGAAACAAATAATAACCCAAAAAAAGGAAAGGGTGGAAGGCGGGGGTAGGAGAGACAGGGAAAGAACAAACGTGCGTGTGTGCGTGTGAGTGTGCGTGTGCTGGCGTGAGTGTATGCGTGTCTGGGGTCGAGAGAGAGTCAGAGAGAATTTGGAAAATAAGGTACGAGGACACCGAGGCGTCGACGAAGAGGCCTGAGATCCGAAAGTCGAAGACGTCCAGGCGGAGAGGGAAGTTTCGCGAGAATTCCGGTAACACGATCGGGGCTCCAGTTTTTTTATACCCAGCACCCAAGAAGCTGTCCGGGAAGTGAACAAGAGGAGAAAGGGAAGGGAGCGATAAAGTGCGACGGGAGGAGTTTCGATTCTTCGTCGCGGATATATCGTGTCCACGCGTCCTCCACGTGTGTTGTCACCCGTGTGCACGTCGCGTTCGCGATACCACGGTCCGTTAATACGAAAGAAACAAACGCGCGCTGATCGTGGTCGTTTTCTTGGAGGGCATCGGTAAAAAAAATTTGTTGACTCTGAACCGAGGGTAGAGAGGGACGTTGTCGAAAGGACAAGCTGGCTCGCGTACACGATCCTTCGGGGGATATGTCCTGCCGTTCTAAGGGGAACCACTGCCCACGTGCACGAGCCTCACGCAGAGGACAACGTCAAGCGAGTCGTGTTTCCATCCTAGAACCCGGCAGCAAGCTATCCTGACAAAAAGAGTGCCCCCGCAGCCTGTCACGGTCCAGGATCGCGAGCACCGACCACGGTCGAGTCGCCGTGTCAGCAGCACGCACGTCCAGACACACGAGGAGCCCGGGGATGCCAGCGAGAGCACAGCAACGATCGCGCTACGCGTACGTCCAAGGACGATGACGATCGGCCACGATCGTTAAGATCCAGGAAGCGGTAGCTCGGACGAGCGCCACGGAAATGGCGGGCTACAATCATTCGAATCCGCAGCGTGTCGTCTATCACGCAACCTACCCGACGCCGCTCGCTGCAAGTGAGTCCTGATCCTTACTCCCGCAACCAGAATGAGAGCCTCCGTGCGGATTTTTCTCTCTGCCAGGTCTCCATGACGGACTGGGGGTGTCTCTCCTATTCGCGCATATTTTTCTTTCTTCGCACCGTCCGTCGTTTACGATTTATTTTACGCGTTCCTTTCACACGTTCGATCGTTCCGTCGAAATTGAGATATCGGTCATCTTTATGGCCCGAAAATTCATAACGCGCAAAAGGTATCGGCGATAAATTACGAACGGTATCGAGAAAGTGCAGCTGCACCGCGATATCTATAACGATCCAGTTTTCCTTAACGCCTCGGAACGTCGATGCGCGTTATTCGTCTCGGCGGAATTTACGCGAAATTTCGAAAAATCGTTCGAGAAACGTATCCGCGTATCGCGCGCGAGCTTCGTGGTCGTCGAACGTAAAAATAGAAAGCTTTCCTTGGCTCTGTTTTCTCTTCGAATTAATTACGTATTTGAATATCTCGGCGTAAGGTTGTGCACGTGAACGGTGCATTACTTTCGCGAGTGTCGTTTTCTTTGCGCCCGGTGCGAGAAAGGGGGGTTTTCGCGTCGGGGGATCGATAACAGCTTCGATCCGTTGTATATAAACACGGCTAACGATGCGTCGTGCGAACGTCTGAGCTTTCGTCGGGATAAATAAACCGGGCAAGAATTACTGTGACTCGCGCGATAACCGGGAACGATCGGATTACGAGGGGGCCACTCGAACGACAGTTAACCGGGCCGGTAGCAAGCGAAACCGTCGGGGATATCGAATTTCTCCGGAATATTGGAAACCGTTCCACGCGAAATATCAGACCTCCGGGGCTAGCATTTTCATCGCGTCTTTATTGGTCTGTTTAGATGGGGATCCGATAAAACTTCCGGATAATTTGGAGACCCTGCCACGAGCCGAGCATTTTCCAACTCAGAGGCACCGATGGAACACCAACGAGGTGAGTCGAAAAGTCACGATTCCAATTTCATCCCAACGATTCACTGTTTTTTCTCTGAGATTAATATTACTGACAGCAACCAGTAACCAAAAAAAGAAACAAATGTGTGACGTATTTGTGTACTGGATGTATCTAGTATCTGTTTCACACATGATTAAGAAAATAATGTAGTCGTGGACAGCTGTAAATCAATATTTCATTTTATTCTTTGATATTGCAACGCTACTCGTAACTTTGAAAATTTATGAAATTTCGACATTTGCTTTCAACTACATGTTCCTTAAATTTCAGATAATAAAAAGATTTCAAATTTTGGTGCAACGAAAAGATTCAACAAATTAGCCCTTAAATGGATTATTGGGCCCTCTGCAAGTTTCAACTGATAATTATTTGAAAGTTTATATAACCCTCCATTAGTTCATTATTTTCTAAATGCTTTAAAGTTGATTTCCATTTAACCATAATCAACATTAAGTAAAATAATTCAGTCGAGATTAGGAGTCCACTTAAGGGTTGAAAGTTTTTTCTCTTTTGATATTCTAGGAACACGTAGTCGAAAGGAAATTTTTAAAGTTTACGAGCAGTCATAAAAAAAATGAATTAAGATATCTCTTGTCTTTCATTAGACAAAGCTTTACGGTATAGTTTGCTAGATAGAGCCGAATTAATCTAACTTCGTTTAGAATATAGCTGCGGCCCGTCCCAGTTACTAGATACGCTCTGTATATCGTTCAATTTGAAAGAGCTACGACTGTTCTAAATTGTAAATTCGACAACAAAATTAGAGGGTACTTCGTATGCCCGAACCCTGGACGTCCGCTCTCAATTAAGGAAAACGTGAAAAGCAGAATTCAACTAGCGCGGCCTCGCGACTGAAAAACGGGCAATAAAAAAGTTCCAGTCGAATTCCAACAAAAGAGCATGCGCTTTCTAGCTGCACCAACTCGGTATAGAGAGTGTTTCGCTAACTGTGCTACAAAGAGTTTTCACTTTGTCGCATAAAGAGCCCTTTTGCATCCTACGTGGAACGAAATTTACAAACCTCTCCAACAGAACGAACCATGATATGAACATTTCAGACACGTCTGTCCATACTTTTATACATTCGTTTTTAAACATTAATCGATTCAACGTGCAACGTTTACTCAAAATAATTTTCAAAACGATCCACACACATACTATTTTTTTTTTTTTCGGTAATGTCAAATTAATTTATATACTACAATGTATATATGGATATTCAACGAGTAACGTTTACTGGAAATAATTTTCAAAACGATGCACACATATGTTATATTTTTGTTCGGTAATGTCAAAGTAATTTATATACTATAATATGTATGAATATTCAACGTGTAACGTTTACTCAAAAGAATTTTCAAAACGATGTCAAATTAATTTATATGCTATAATATATATATGGACACTTTACTTGTGAGCGTAATAAAGATGTTTAACGACAATAAAGTATAATGCAACGGAATGTAGGGAACTTGTAGAATGTAAGGGAAAATAGACAGTATATGGTCAGACGGATATCGGGAATAGTACAACAGTGCCATACGTTGCGTGTGTACTATTTTAAGAATCCATTGAAGTAACAGTCGTTCAGAGGAAAGGAACTTCGGAGAAATTTATGAATTTGTTTAAAAAATCAATTCGAGTTAGGAGGCAATCTTAACGAGCATCTCTTCGGTTTCTCGGATCGTATTTAAAAAGGTTAATATTTAAAATGCTAAGGGTACAATATACAATCTTTTAATCGATCGCTAACGTGAATTTGTGCATAGATGTAACAATAATTCGATTGTTGATTGGAAAGTTGCATCTCCATTCTTGGGTGAAGCAAAGATCGTTCCACGTGGTCCTGGATTGTTCTAAAAGATTCAATATTTAAAATGTAATATATTTTTTTTGTCAAAAGTCTATAAATATTTAAAATGGGAATAGTAAAATATACAATGTTTTATTCGTTTATATTCTGACGCGAATACGCGTATAAAATGTAAAATTCTCGAGTAACGTCTTCGTTAGCCATTAAACCGAACAGTTCAAAAAGTCGCTTAAAGTACAAAACGTAAAATACACAATTTCTTATCCTTCGAGGCTATATTCTGTTGCGAATTCGTTTACAAATTTGGCAACAATCCGATTTTCGACTCTATAGGTACGCTTACGTTCACCATCAAACCAAATAACGTTCCGTTTGGTTTCATTTTTTGCATCGTCTTTGAAACGCGTCTATATTTATAGCTGTAGACGTGGACTCGTGCAAATTTAACGATTCGATTTAAGACTCCAAAAGTTATGTCTCCGTTCGGCCCCATAATTTAACGTACAAGGAATAAAACGTACAATATTGTACTCGTTACGGTTATTTTCCAGTGCAACTCGAGCACAAAAGCAACAATTCCATTTCAGATTCTTAAATTACATGCCCGTTTGGGCTGTTTTTGAAAAGAATCAATATTTGAAATATAAAACGTACAATGTACATGTTCCTGGCGTAAATTCGTGTGTAATTTTAACAAAAATTCAATTTCTTGGATCTCCAAATATAAAATAAAATGCCTATTTAGCGATGATTCCATTCAAGAAAAAAAAATGATCACTCACGATAGAAAAAGTAAATTACACAAATTTTTACTTCTCAAGGCTATTTACTGACGCGAACTCGTCCAGAAATTTGGCAACGGAACAAAAATTCAAATGTACAATCCTCTGTCAAGGCTATTTCCTCGCGTATAAATTCAGCTTAAATCAAAAGTTTGATTTAAGGTTTCGAACTTCACTCCATTCACCGTTAATAAGACTAAATAAAATAAAAAATAATTTCCTCGAGCTGCGAGTCGACTCGATTCGATTTAAGATTCCGAAACGGCGTGTCCGTTTGGTATTTCAGGAGGAACGGGAGCGGAGAGCCGGTTCTTTTTGAGCGTATTTGCCTCCCCGTGCATTCGGGGGTCGAAGTTTGCCCCGAGGATTACGTCGACGTCGTTAATACGTTCGCGATAAACTCTTCGCGAACGGAGTTAGCGGAACGTTCCCTGTGCATTTACATGGAATTCCAGTAGGCACAACTGGTAAAGTAAATAGCGACGTCGCAACGCCGTTGGTGGCTCGTACGGTAGCGTCGGTGGTTAGAGAGGATAGATGCTGTCCGTACGTGTGCAGGGACGCGTTGGTGTGCAGGGGTGCACATACCAACACGTAGAGCACCGTGCACTCGTAGGTGTACCGATGTAGTCCACTGCTACTCTGACCCCGGTCGGCCTTCGATCAATAGCTGGAGCCAGCTAGAGAGCTCAGCCGAGCCGAGTTGAGTTTTCAGTTCCGTCGAGTCGAACCCAATTGCTAGCCTATGCCTCCTGCCCCCCACCCCGATCCACCTCCAAATCTATCGCGATAAGTCCCTTTCACCATCCGGTTTCTACCCCTTTTTCGATCTTCGATACTCCGCGCGAATTAATGGTATCTCGGGCCTTCGGGGGAAGATGTTCCCTCTCGACGATGATTCGGGCAACTAACGTCAACTTTTCCACCCCATCGTCCGTTCTCTTACTTCTGTTCCTTCGAGCACTGTCCTCGTTCGTTCGATCGGGGGTAGTTTCGAAAGGGTCCCGTTCGCCGAATCATCGCGACGCACGGTGTTCGAAAACGACTATTTGGATCTACAATCGTTTTACTTTAGGTGTCGTGGACTTTGTATATCCTTGAGGATCGTTTTGATACGTTATTTATCCCTGGATGTTGTTTAAATAGGTTCTTTTTTACTGAGAAACTCGACGTTTCTGATCCTCTTGGAAATCTGTTTTTGCTGTTCATGTTTCTCTTTATAGGAAATAATGATGTTAGAATGATTTCATTTTGTACTATATGAGTCTTGAAGGTACACAGTTTATTTTGGGATAAAAACAATTGACCAGAATTTATTAGAACTTCAAGTTTTCGGAATAGAAGTTATCGGATTGGTAATTCACCAAATTCAACAAAATTCCACCACGCAGGAAACCAAGTAGGAAAATCAGTTCCTACTTTTTGCTACTTTTTCAACAATATAACTCTAAAGTTACCGAATTTTATTTTTATTATTATGCAGCGGTGAAACTTTCATAATAAATATATTTCATTTTTTTCTTTAATCAAATAATTTAATTTTCATTTGATATAAGATATTAAGCAAAATCTTAAAACTTTATAAAATCCAGTAAAGACAAAGTTAGAAGGAATTTAATGTACAAAATTAGTTGCAAAAAATGAAGTATAATTGTATAAATATAATGCTATTAGAAATTATTATTTGCTTCTTCATGGTGTAAATACAAAATTAAGTTATAGCTGCATTTATATTGGAAACATGATTGCGCCTCCGAAGACTCGTCAAAAATTCCGGGAGCACGACCATGCTCCCAATACGTTATTCGATTTGTTCCGCGTTTCGAAGCATGAAATATAAGGTTGCACAAATATATAATTGGCAGAGGAAACGAAAATTAAAAAGAAAAATATGTAAACGCGAAATCAATGTTTTAAACCGATTACGCGACACGGTTGCAAAATATTATACAGATAAGGACCATGATTTTGATTTTCGAACTATTCTATATTATTTAGAATAACACGGTTAAAGACAAAGCATGTTGCAGTGTTTATACAATTGGTCACACTCTTTGTCAATTATAATTGTTAATAAATAGTTTGTAATGGCTATCGTTAAAAAATACGGCCGTTGAAAATGTATTCCAACAGCATAATCAAGGTTTGCAGTCGAAACATTGCCTGGATTTTTATTAAATAGTTTCTTTTTGTAAAATGTACGTTTATATAACAGTTAAAGCAATGTATATACATAAAGAATGCGTTTACATTCGAAAATAGAATATAAAATTCATCGTGTATTTGTGTAAACCGATTTGGACTTCAGCGCAAGTAGAAAGAGCAGATAATGGTCGGACATACCAGAACAACTCGTATTCATTCGCACGCGTACTCGACTTTTA